CACACCCCACACACAGACACACACACACACAGGCCGGCAGGCACACACATTCAGACATGTCTACACCCACACACCACATGGGCACACACACCCACACAGGCCGGCAGGGACACACACTCCATCACACCCCACACACAGACACACCCACATAGGCCGGCAGGGTCACACACTCCATCACACCCCACACAGACACACCCACACAGGCCGGCAGGCACACACACTCAGACATGTCTACACCCACACACCACACGGGCACACACACACACATAGGCCGGTAGGCACACACACTCCATCACACCCCACACACAGACACACACACACAGGCCGGCAGGGACACACATGTCTACACCCAGACATGTCTACACCCACACACCACACGGGCACACACCCACACATGTCTACACCCATGTAACCCACATGCCACTCACACACACATAGGCTGGCAGGCACACCACACTAACACATGTCTACTCAAACAGGCTGGAGGCACATACACTCCATCACATCCCACACACAGGCACACACACTCCATCACATGTGACACACAGACACATACAAGGAAGTGGCACAAAAGTCAGATGCGGGACACAGCATTTGGGTCTGGCTCTGGCTCCAGGGTCCGGTGCAAGGTGACTCTGAGCTGGGAGCCCCTCGGTGTGGCCGGGCTTTGGATGTTTACGCTCCAGAACATTACGTGCAAATGGATGTGGCCCAGCACCGGCCCTGAGTGGACTCACGAGGCTAAGTCAGCATAGAAACACATGGAGGTTTAATGTTTAATGTTGACTTTCTTTGGTTCAATGGCAGGATGCCTCTCTGCTCAGCCAGAGCCACTGAGGGCAGAAAGTTCACGAGGCTGGAGGGGCCGGGGAGAGCCGCGTGGCCCCGGGATCAGGACACGAAGGGGCCACACACCCCGGGCCCCGCTACCCCCATGGAGGGCGAGAAGATGCACGGGTGCTATTAACCAGCCTCACAAAGAACAGACAACGCAAAGACTGTATTTTTGTGTGAATGGTTCTGCACCCACAGTGTGTACACAGCACAGCCTCGGGATTCGGGTTCACATCGGCTACGGAAGCAGGTGGAAAGCTGAGGCGGAGGCAGGGCCCCCAGGTGTCATCCGCTGGCCCATCTGGTCGCTCTATAAGGATGCACGGTGTTTGCTGGGTGGAGCATGCTGCGGCCGACCGCGTCGTGGTGAAGTTTATGGACGCCGCAGGAAGTGAGTCTCCTCACACTCAGATACTGAGTGCCAGCCTCCGGAGAGCCCTTCCACTGCGCAGGCGCTGGGAAGACTCCCCCACACGCCTCTTCTGGGAGGTGCGCATTGGAAGTCTGTGCTCCTGGTGAGACTGCCCGACTGTCAGCGCACTGGCGAGGCTGCTGACATTGACATTTGCAGGGTGAAACCATCTGCAGTGACACCCTGGTGCGTGGGGCGCTGGAAAACACACGCCTTCCACATGCAGTGTGTGCAAATGTGCAGGATGGGGGGGTGGGTAGGTGGGGTATGCATGTGTGTGCGCCTGTGTGTACGTGTGGGTGCACATGTGTCACAGGGAAGGAGGGAGGGAGGGCTGTGCACGTGTCATGCCCAGGCCCTCTGGACTCCCCCCTCACCAAGGGACGGGCCACTTGCTCTCACAGAAGGCTTGTTGTCATCCACATCTGTCCTTTGAGTCAGGGCTTCGTGCCCAGGTGTTTTTCATGGAGATGAAGAAAAGGGGAAGGGATGCCGTCCATGAGAATGCCCCGCCAGCCAGCCCCTGTTCTTTGTTACAGAACCTTCTTGTTGCCAGGCACCTACACTGGAGTGGAATCCAGTCCCAATGCGGGTGGCTGGTTTTGGAAGTCGAGTCTTCACTAAAGGATGTTGGGCATTTTCCAAAGGCGTGGGCTCCTGAGAGCCCCCCATTGGCCCTCTGAGGCCGACAGCTATTCCCAAAGTCCAGAGCGCGGCTGCAGCCCCCAGCATCCGTGGTGCTCTCAGCCCTGCAGGGCTATCACGCGGACGGGGCTGCCGTGGACACTGAGTGGGCGGAGGTGCGTGGGGGCCCCGGGAAGCTGTAAGGGCGGCTCAGACACAGGACAGCAGAGGGTCCTGAGGGTTCTGCCCAGAGCGAGAATGCTGGGGACAGACCGGCCACCACCGCCCTGGAGAACACAAGACACACACTGAACGCTGGGAAGGTCAGGGCAGCCTCCTGCTGTGGTCTCGGCCCTGCCGGCCACACCCGAGGAAGCCAGGACCCCGTGGGCTGCAGGGCATCTCGGGCCGGGCCACACCTGGGTCTGGGTGGGTTCTTTGATGGAATCCCCTGCTCTGCTTCTGGGCACCCCAGGACTGGAGGCCACAGGACAGAAACCAGATGACCATGTGTGAGGCCCAACACGTGGATTTGGGATAAGAGGAGCAGGTGTGGCCCAGAGCATTTCCCCCACTGAGATCTCTCTCACGGAAGGGGGCAGCAGGGGGTGTGAACTGCTTCTGAAAGGCGGGGTCGCTTTGGTGCCCCAGTGACCTCGTGTGGCAGATGGGCCCCCCACTCTGCCCTGAAGCTCCTCCAGGGACACCGTGTCCCTTGCCCCGGCTACACAGTAGTTTCGTTTCTCCAGGGTCCTGTTCGGATGTTGCCAAATGGCAGGCCTTCTAGCAAGTCACCCTTGGGCAGCCCGTTCTGGCTGGGGCCACCAAAGGGCAGAGACTGTGTCCTCCGCAGCATCTCCAGATGGCCAGGCCGCGTAGGGCAGCTGTAGAGGCTAGGGCTCCCCTCGCTGCCCTCGGGCTGGCTGACCATGGGGAAGGGGTCGCCTTGGGCGCAGCAGGACAGCGTGTGCGTCCCCGCCGGGCCCTCCAGCGAGCTGGGGGGGCTGTCCGTGCGTGAGCTGCGGGGACTGCCGTCAAGGCTGGATGGGATGTGGTAGGCGTACTCGGGCTCGGTGGCCACCGGGTGCCGGCTGAAGTAGGGCGGCTTAGTTCTGCCCTGCAGGCACCCGTGCAGGTGGGGGTCGTGCGCAAAGGCGCCCTCCTCCTGCAGGTGCACGTGCGCCTCGTCTGCCATCAGCGGTTCGCAGTGCATCTTGGCGCAGCACGGGGTGGCGGGCGACAGGCAGCTGGCGTGGCCCTGCGCGGCCTGCAGGTTGGTCATCTTGCAGGGGCCCGGCGGGTGCGCAAAGCCCCGCGGCTGTCCGAGGCCCGGTGAGTGCAGGCAGGTGGCATGGCCCGGCGCAGCCCCGTCGGCGTGGAGCGCGGGCCGGGGGTCTCCGCGGGGCGGGCAGCAGGCCCACCAGCAGCGCCACACGTCCTCGCGCTTGGCGCAGTGGTGGATGAGCACGAAGAGCCCCAGCGTCACGCAGAAAGCGCCGTACAAGCAGCTGAAGACCATGTCCAGGAAGTCGCCCTGCGACACGGCCAGCGCCCCGAAGGCCCACGTGGCCGCGAACAGGAACAGCGTGAAGGCGGCGGCGCGAAGCTGCGCCTGGAACGAGTGCTCGTTCTGCAGCACCGAGGCCCCGGGGCCGCCGCGGGCGGGTGGGGTGCCGGGCCGGGGCCCTCGTGGGCCGCCCTCGGGTGTTGCCAGCCGCCGCTGCTCCTCGGGCCGTGCGCGCAGCTCGTACCTGCGCCCCGGGTGGCGCCGCAGCTGCACGTAGGTGCCCAGGAAGTACACGCAGGTGACCAAGGTGATGAGGGCGGCCGGGCCGTAGAAGGCGCCCAGGCTGGGCTCCCAGGCCATCCAGCAGCTGCGGGGGAGACACGCGCGTCAGCGGGCCGGGCCGGGCCAGGACGCGGGACTCGGGACTCGGGACTCGGGACGTGGGACTCGGGACGTGGGACTCGGGACTCGGGACGCGGGACGCGGGGTTCGGGACTCGGGACTCGGGACTCGGGACTCGGGAATCGGGACGTGGGACTCGGGAATCGGGACTCGGGACTCGGGACGCGGGACTCGGGACTCGGGACTCGGGACTCGGGGCCGCGGGACGCGGGACTCGGGACGCGGGACTCAGGGTTTGGGACTTGGGACGCTGGACGCAGGACTCGGGACTCGGAACTCGGGGTTCAGGACTCCTGTGGAGCAAATGTCCCGCGCCCACACCGACAAGCGAGTGGCTCTGTGCAGTTGCTGCTTGGTGGCCTCGGGCGTTTCTAGAGTCGCTGAGAGTGTGGATGCGAATGGGCCCCATCGGCCCTACCAGCTCCGGAGGTCGGGAGCCCGGAAAGTGTCTCCGGTGCAGCCGGGTGGGGTGGGGGCCAGGAGGGACCCCGAGCTTGCTGGGTGGGGCCCGAGGGCGAAGCGGGCTGGGCGGGGCTGGCGCGGGTGGGCGGGGCCAGGGAGGTGGAGTCGGGTGGGGCTGGGTCAGAGGGCGGAGCTGGGTGGGCGGGGCTGGCGTGGGTGGGCGGGGCTGGCGCGGGTGGGCGGGGCCAGGGAGGTGGAGTCGGGTGGGGCTGGGTTAGAGGGCGGAGCTGGGTGGGCGGGGCTGGCACGGGTGGGCGGGGCCAGTGAAGTGGCGTCTTGTGGGCGGGGCCAGGCAGAGGGCGCAGCTGGGTGGGCGGAGCCGGTGTGGGTGGGCGGGGCCTGGCAGAGGGCAAGGGGCGGGGCATCCTGGGGCGTCAGAAGGAACTGTGGGCGCTGAACCAGGGGATCCAGGACGGCTCTGGGCACCGATGGAGGGGACGGTTGGGTCCATTCCTACCTGACGGGGTTTCCCTTCTCAGCTGAGCTCCGTGCTGCTGCCAAATAGCTGTTTGTCCCCAGGCCCCTCCCACGGAAGGGAAACCAGGCCTGCCTTGTCCAGGGGCAGAGATTAGGGTGGAGTCCCCGGGAGAGGAGGGGGCGCCGCGCACTCCTGGGGGGTGCGAGCTGGGAGGGGCGCTGGTCTGGGCAAGCCTCGGGTCCGGGCCCCAGCCTTGCTGCTCTGTCTTGGGCTCCCCCAGTGCGGCGCCCCGGAGGCCTCCAGCAGAGCCCACCCGCCCCTCCCCACTCCTGGCGGCAGGTGCCCAGTACTCACTACGCAGTGTCCTCATCCTCTGTCCCGTAATTCCTGATGTTCGTGGCAGCTGTAACCCCACAGATGATGAATGGGACCCCTCCGCTGACGAGGTAAAACCTGCAGGAGAGGAAGGCGCTGATCCCCTTGCAGACCTGGCTTGTGTCCTCCTGGGACAGCACTGCTCCTCTCGCCCTCTGCGGGGCAAGGGAGAGTAGCGGGTGCAGGCAGAGTAGGTGAGGGGACCGAGACCCCTGATCCCTGACCCCTGACCCCTGATCCCTGACCTCCGACCGAGAGCACCAGTCCTGGCCTTGCCTTGCCTCCTTCCTGCAGGCTTCTGCGCCTGCGGAGGGACCTGGACCCCAGCACGGAGGTCCCAGGTGAGCTGGGTGGGCTGCAGACTTCACAGCAACTGCAGGGAGCCCCTGGCTACAGGCGGACCGCTCCCCCAGGAGCACGGGTCACACAGCGGGTAGTGCGTGGCCAGTGACGGGAGTGAGCTGGGAGGGGACTCTTTTAAGCAGTTTTAAGGCCTCACTCAGCCTCAGGGGAAGAAGTGCAGAAGGCTGCAGTCTCCTCTCCCTGCAGACCATGGAGCCCCACCTTGGAGGGGCAGAGTCTCAACCTGAGAGGTGCAGCCCAAGCCCAGGGCAGGGGCTGACCGTGCCCTCTGCAGGGCCTGTCAACGGCGCCCAGGGGTTCATGCAGACGCTGCATGTCCCGGACCGGGTGCACTTGCTCACTGCCTCCACCCCTGGCCAGACCCATGAGACACCCCCTGGCTGCCAGCCCTATGGAGCATGGGTGAACTAGGGGCCAGCTCCAAGACCATCTCCACATGGGCGACCTAGGGGGGCAGCTCAGAGACCATCCTTGCATGGGTGATCTGGGGGGCAGCTCAGAGACCATCTCCAAATGGGTGACTTGGGGGTGACAGCTCAGAGACCATCCCCGCATGGGTGACCTGGGGGAGGCAGCTCAGAGACCATCCCCGCATGGGTGACTTGGGGGAGGCAGCTCAGAGACCATCCCCACATGGGTGACCTGGGCGGG